AATAACCATATCAAACTTTGTTTAAGCAAATCAGGGTGAACGCTGGATAAACAGGCTATCTGAAGGAGGCTTATGTTAGTGAATGAGGTGACTAGATTGTATATGTGAACGAATGGCACCAGTTCTGTGTGTATGTGAATATTTTGTTGATATGCAGTTCGCCGTCACTCCCAAAAGCACACTCTCCTCCATTGTCTCCTGAGATAGACAAATACCAAACAACAGCAATATTTGTATAAATTGAGATGACTTGTGAGTAAATGGGAAGGTAGGGTGTGTGTCAATGAAAACTATACCCAGAAGGCACATTTAAAACAAAACAAACAAATTTATGAGAATATATTAAGGGTAAAAGTCATCTTCTCTGAAAAGGGACACAGTTGAAAAACTGAGGGAAGGAGAGAAGGTTATACATTCCTATTCTTTGCTTCGTTTAACTTATACAGGAGGTAAGATAAATAACAAGGAAACAGTTCTGCATATTTGCTGTTGGTTTTGTGTAGTAGCTGTCATTACTACTATATATATATAGTATTCTGCTCAAATAGTCCTGAAGCATTTTTTTTTTTTTACATTACTTGCCAAGATCCTGCAAAATGTATAGCCAGATCACTACTGTTTGTGAAATTGGAAACTATGTTGGAGTTTCTGCAAGAGAGCCATTATCCCCATTTAAATATGGGTGAGAGAGAATGAATATACATACAATACTATCGTCTATCTGTGATAGATTGGTATCTTAAACATAAAATGTAAGCTGTGTGTCCCTGTTGCATCAAGATCCAGGAATGACAAATGAATGGCTTGTGGTATAGAAGCAAATAGCCTTCTCCCTTTCTCCTCTGAATCTCCAGCACTGCTGTTTGTGAAAGTAGATATTTATGTGCTTTCTGCTCCAATTTTATGGAAATGATGTGTTCCTCCCACCATCCACACAAAAACAAAGATCATAATTGCAGCCCTTTAGAATCTGTGCATGTAGCAATCAGCAACCTAAATTATAACCTAGATGCCAGCTTTCCCTTAAGATGTTAAAAGTTGCCCATAATACTTTGCATTGTGTTCCTCAAGGAGCACAAGTGATTTGGAGCTATTGTATGAAGTTTGACATGGTTAATGCAATTTGAAAGTAAGTTAACTGAATATTAACCTCCTTCTCCAGGGCCACGTCAAAGCAAAGAGTGCTTTCTTCCCAGCCAAACAAGCATTTGATTGATTATGGGCTTTCTTTTTCTGAATAACTGTCAGTAGTCTGTAGTTCTATTCACATATTTTGATTGTAGGGCATCACTGTGATAACTCTGAAGTGAGCCATGCTTTTAGGCCCACTCCTGATGTTGCCTCATCCTCAACAGTGAATTACCTGTGGTTGTTTGAAGTAGGAGTCCAAAGTATGAGCTCCTAGTCATGTGTGGTTTTCCATGCAATTGTGACACCCAGTTGTGCAGGTGTCTCAGTCGCATGGCGCTCCTGCTTATACATATGAATATTGGTCTTTTATGCAACCTGTGATTGTAAGGAGGGAAACACCCCATTGGTGATTTGCCTAGAAATACATGGCAATACTCTCTGCATGAGTAATATGGTTAATAGGGCTTGTAGTGTTAACCAACCAGCAGAAACTATATACCTTTTCCTATTACTCTACAACAAGAGATTATAAAGTACTGTAGAGAATACTCCTGAATATTCTTGTATTTATGAACTAGTCTCTAGTATGAATGTTTCACATAGCAAACTATTTTTTGTCTGTTGAAATGTACCCAGGCTCTTCACATCTGGCGTAGAGAAAACTTGTTTGGAGAAGTAGTTAGTAGATTCTTGATAAGCTTCCTAAAACCATCCTCTTTTTTTCACCATTACCTGGAAGTTCAGTTGTGCAAATCGCTGAATCTTGGGACTTCTAGTTTTTAGGTACATTAGATGCTCATCACTAAGTAACTTGAGCTCCGATCTGCCTTCAGCTGTTAGGCATATAGGAAGCTGCCTTATACTACGTCAGACAACTGATCCAGCTTTCTCAGTTCTTCATTATATTTGAGCTTTCACACAATGTAAAAGCCACTTCTGGAACTATAGGGAAATATAGTACAAGTTTAGTGCTCATTTCTATATTATTTGCGTCCAGAAAAAGAAAATCCATTTTCAAATAATATGTTAATGAGTGCTAAACTGGCACTATATCCCACTATAGTTCCAGAAGCGGCTTTTACATTGTGTGAAAGCTCAGATATAATGTGGAAATTAACAGTTAGGGAAAGTGGAATAAACTGTCATGTGAATGCCACCTATCACTGGCTGTGGGGAGAGTTTTACATAATGTAATACCTCTTATACACAGAAATGGTTATGTTGCTTAATTTTCTTTCGTACCTTGCCTCTTGTCTTATTCCACACAAGTACAAAACAAAATAATTTCCCCTTTGCCACCTCAGTTTAAGCAAACTACTGATACTGAATAGAAAACAGGTTGTCTCAAACACACCAATCTTGGTTTATCATCCAGCAAAGAGACAGGCTCTTTTTAATGGTAATTGTGATGCACTTTGTTAATTTGCTCTTCTACCCTTGTAATAAGCTAACAGTTCAGCGTGTGCAATCTGGTCGGGAAAGTAAGCCCCAGAGGGCTATTAACACAGCTTTGTTATTTAGAAATGTAGGAATAACACTTTATTGTCAATTGGAATTCTTTGTGTGTAGCTTCACACATTTCTGATATAACTGAGAAAACAACACAGGCATTGTACAAAGCCATTTTGGAAAAGTTTACAGCATACTGTAAGAAGGGCTGTGTTGCCGTTAGAGTCTCATATGTTTTTGCCTAATATAGTAACTAAAGTAAAAAATACTTTCCGAAGGATTATCAACACTACCTGCATAATGGACTCTGCTTCCATGTTTTTCTACAAGTTCTAGCTTTTAAACAATACATTAAAAATACTACAGCACAGAGCCCCTTACTGCCTCTGAATTCCAAAATGTCAGAAGATTCCCCATCTGCATAACTGAAGGAAACTGAGATTGAAGCAAGGAAACAAGAGCAAGAGAATACTGGAAGCAAGGGAGTTGCTTCCTAGAGAAGAATATTCAGTTGTTAGCTTCACAGCTAAGCAAGGATTTGGACCTATATGTCAAATCCAACACTCTTACACCATACATCAAAAGAATCATACACAAATCATTAGATTTGTACAGTATTATATACAAGCCACGTCGGACGTTCGGGTTCCAAATAAAGTTCGCAAACCGGAACACTCACTTCTGGGTTTGCGGGAGCCAAAACGTCTGAGTACCAAGGCATTCGGAACCAAGGTACGACTGTATTTGTTAAATACTGGAGGCCCACTAGCCAAAGAACTACAGTTAGTTGGGATATTTGATCTTTCTATATATGAGTCTAACAACTGTTGCCTTTGTTGTTTTCAGCATAATACTATATTCTTATCAAAATCTGCTATCTGATCTTTAAGTAATTTTAGATATCCTAACCCCAAAGCAGCCACAGAAACCAGAATATCAGGAATCCTTTAGATTTGTGATTTTGAAGAAACAAGCATCTTTTTTCCTTTCATTCTTATAACAAATGGTTTCTTCTTCTATATTAATCAACCCCTTTGGCCCAAACTCATCATAAACAGTTGGCTTTCTAGAAATTCTTTACGGTTTGTGAATATTAGGAGGGTTATGGAATAAAGAACATACAAATGCTTCTAATATTATACTAGAATTGATTAACAATGTTTACAGATCAGATATTTTAATTTTCTAAAGACACATTTCTCTGTATTTTTGGAAGATTTCCAATATTAATGTGCATTTTAGAATGTTCTTTAGGGTTGTGAAATGTTTAGGAACACCCATCTTGAAGTGAATGAAATGTTTTCTGTTCTTGTCAAACTCCATGAACACCATTAAATATAGTGCAGAGTTAATTGGAACCAATAGGCATGGCACTAGTTAGAAAATTAAAGACCAAAGCGGAAACAGAGGGTTGTATCCAATGTAGCACTAAGTAACTTGTTTTAATTAATACAAGAATTCATGTTTTTACAATGGAACTTTCCCCCCTCTCCTGCCTCATGCCCATTAAATGTACTGTATTCTGGGTTGTAAACCCTCCAGAGGATGCACAAGGAAGAGAGGAAGCTTTCATTGTGCAAGTGTAAATCTTTGTACTAGCACATTGACTGCCTTCAGTACCTCCCAGGGTTACTCGTTTTTACTTTGTCATGAAATATTTCACATAACGAGAATATTTCAAATAATACATGTGATTTCTATGAAAAATATAGATTTTTAAAATATGCATTGTTGAAGGAAATGCTCTTTTCAAAAATGGTAAAGATGAAATAATAACTGAAGGCTTGAAAAGGTTCTCATAGTTTACAAACATTGCAAAGCCACATACATTTAAAACAGATGGTGCTTTGTGTTGCATTTATGCATGGGTCTCATTGCTCAAGAATCACTGACACATTGTTGTCCTTTAGTATTAATAATATGCTCCTGGGTCAAACTTTGAGCCAATATCATTTATCTTTTGTCCTGTTCACAAACTTTAATCCATTATTAAAATGCCCCCCCTCCTCCATATTTGCCGATATAGATTTAGCATTTTAAGTAAGTGAATAATGCTAGTTTTCTTAACCTTGCAACAGGAACCTTAGCTGGACCTTCTCAGTGAGAACCGTCTTAGAACATTGAAGTTGGGTTTAGATTTCATTAATCATTCTCTATCTTTAGCTTTTCCAGATTGGTAATCCATAGGGAGGAAGAAGTATTCTCCAGATTGTTCCTTTTCCTTATGTGCATAGAAGCAAGCAGATCAGCTTCACGAATAGACTGCACATATGCAAAGCAGTGTTGTCATTGCTATATATTTCAGTTGTAGCTAATTTAATTGAATATACTTTTCAAATGTTATCTATATAAATAGTGTCATATCCAACATTCTCCTAGCCCCCAGCCGATGCCTACTCCAGTCCAACTTTATATGGGGAAGGGCTATATCTCCGTGATAGAGAATCTGCTTTGCATGTAGAATGTCCCAGGTTCAATCCCTAGCATCTCTGGGTAGAGCTGGGAGAGATCCCTGACTGAAACCCACTGACCTACAGAGCTTCAGCAATGTGATGGCATCATGTGCCATCAGAACATACCCTTGGCTTCTTGGCCCACCCATACTTGGTTCTGCTCAATAACAATCCCACTATGAAGCCTCAACTTTGACAGCTTGACTGAAACCACTGAAAAGTAGGATGACCAAATATTTTCAAAACCTAGCATATAGATGAGGGGGGGGGGCAGAAATCTTGTATTTGACTGTTAGGCAACACTTGAAGGTATCCATTAGAGCTTTGAATGTTCTAACATTCTCACATTATCAGTCACAGAAATCTGCCTGTAAGCATATATAAAAATAATAAGGTAAGAATGAGTCAGACACAGGTATATTCAATAATTGATATGGGTGGGACAACCTCATTTCCACCTTGAAAGTAAGTGTAAGTATGTGCACTCCTGTAAGCAAGAGTCATAGCAAGGGAAATAGCTCTGTCCCTCTTGCCTTTAGCTAGAATATCTGTTATGCTGGTAGTTTTCTGCATAGAGATTTTATGTAATCCACTGTGACTAACTGCTTTATATATCACATTGCTCTCAACAGGGCCAGCCAAAGATACTTTGCTGCCTGACGTGGAACACCAAATGGCACCCCACACATGTCTTTCCCCATACATCCTCGTGGCCCTGACAAAGCAAACCATTAAAGTAATTTCTTATGCACTTAGACGCTGACGAATAACTCTCCTGAGTCTATATTGTTTTCATGAACAAATTATGTAAGACTATAAAACACAAGCAATTAATGTTTTGCTTTCTTAAGAAAAAACTGATAATCAGCAGAAGCCTAAATAATGTCCCTATTTAGTGGGAAACACAATTTCCAGACAAAACTGAACACAATTCAGGTTGTGTTGTTCTGAAACACAAGTTGGCTTTAAAAATGGATGCTTGTTCTTTTCCCCCTCTTTCCCACCCACAAGTGCATTCTTAATCATAAACATATAGTATATTTTCAATGTGCTTAAAGCATTTTGCACTTTTCCCCCAGTGCTTCTTCCAAACACTTTCCAGTACAATAGGGTGTCACAGATGAAGTGATAGAAACAGATGGTGGCATAGGAGCCAACTCCTAGGGGTCATGGGGGCACCTTAGAGACCAACTAAGTTTGTTCTTTGTATAAGCTTTCATGTGCATGCAGTGTATCTGTTTCAGTGTATCTGAAGAAGTGTGCATGCACACGAAAGCTTATACCAAGAACAAACTTAGTTGGTCTCTAAGGTGCTACTGGACATTTTATATATATATATATATATATATTATATGTGCTGGAAACCACACAGAGTGTCTGGGGAAACCCAGCCAGATGGGTGGGGTATAAATAATAGAATTGTTGTTGTTGTTTTCTACAGATTGCTGTTTACTCCATCAGTGATGGGTTTTCCCAGGGAAAATGGCAGGACATACACACACAAAAGCCCTGGTCGGTCACACACCTGGAAAGCCCAGGCCTGTGCCTAGAAACATAGCACAAAAGAAACTGTGGATAAACACTTAGAGTTTTTGTTCTACTTTCTAACATTCCTTTGGAACTGGGCCTTTTTGATCAATATACCACGTTACAGTAAAATTCTTTCACACCAGTGGGCATGGTATAACTAAGCAGTGGATGTGATTGGGCATGTTATGACCCTTTCTGTTCATATAAACAGCTGGAAGATTACAGCAGAACCCGCTTCCTCCAATTATTTTCAGGGTTAAAATGCATGAAAACAGGTTTGTTTATTTTTTCCTGTAAGCAATTAACATGAAAATGAATCTTAACCTTCCACCAGATTTCAAGTAGTGGATTTTCCATCATATCAAAGGTCACTTAAAATGCATAAATTATGAGGTAAGGGTATGTCAGGAAAATGGGATGAAGTGATGTCTGAATGCAGCCTCTGTGTCTCCAAATGTTATAAAGACTATGAAGGCCCAGGTGGGCTTTCAATGATAGGATATGCTTTTATTTGAATAACACAATAATCAATTAAAATGATATAGATATGTTGGTAGAATTTTAAGTATTCATATGTAACAATGTCTGTGTGTGTTCTCTGTGTGTTTTATATGAGTAACAAAAAGCAGCATCAAGCCTGTGGTTCTTTGATTATTTATCTGGAGGCTCATAAAAGACAGTGTACAGCCCAATTAGAAAACACAAAGAGTCTTGGACAGATAACCGTTGTAATATGAATCCCTTTAATATGAAAATGCAAAGAAACACTAAAAATTTATGATACAAGATAAAATTTAAAAGGTATCGCATATTGAACACTGGGGCCAGTTTGTCCCAATTAGCTAAGATGGCAAAGCAACCCAATGCCAATATTTGCTGCATCACCCCAAAAAAAGTGCTTAGGTCATTATATACTGATTGCTGAGTTGGTGAAGCATTATAAAAGTTGACATTTCTCTGCCATTTCAGAAATCAGTTCCACAGACTTTAGAAAGCAATGCTAATAGAAATGTTCAGAACCAAAATCCCAAGCTTTACATAAAAAAAGAAAAACTGAAAGGAAAGGTTATTACTGAACTAAATAACCTGCAAATTAATTCACTTTTATTGTGTTGTTTTACTTCATTTGGGTCAGCATTGATTTGATTATCAAGAAAGCTAGATGACAAACTTCAGCAGGTTTATCTTTTAGAATGAGCGTGTCCAACCCGTGGCTCTCAAGATATTGTTGCGATACATTTCCCCTCATCCCTGACCATTGACCAGCGGTTGGAGCCTATCTGTATGTGGAGGACCATTTACTGCAATCTGCTTTACAATAGCTAGTATTCAAAAGGTGGTTTCAAAAAGCAAACCTCCCCAACTCCAAAAAAGAGGATGCCTTGTTCTTAGTTAGGGCCACGGACATGTACATCTGGACTGTGGTCAAAGCATCACTTGTTTTCTGATTCTCCCTTCCACTTCAGGTTTGTCCTTTTTGAAAGAAGAAATCTGGTTGCATCTGCAAAATGGGAGAGGTAACCAGAAGCAGGTGGATTTCTTCACAAAATAGGCAGGTCACTTCCTCCTAACAAGGGATTTGTCCTTTCCAGACCATAATTTCCATGTAGATTCCCCACTATTGCATAATCAGAAATAGGGCTTGCTCAGTGCTATCCCCAAGAAGTTGGCTGCCAAAGAAGCATTCCATTGTGCTGTTTTCAAAAAAAAAAAAAGGAAGGAGGGAGGGAGGGAGGGAAGGAAGGAAGGAAGGAAGGAAGGAAGGAAGGAAGGAAGGAAGGAAGAAAGATTTTAATCATGAGGTCATCTCATGGCCAGCTTTCATGTGAATTGGCTCACTATCCAGTTCTGTTGTCTGCAAAGTTGACAATCTCATTCATGTGAAATGAGTTTATCTGTACTATAAATCCCATTCTTAAAATTCTATCCCTCTCCCTCATGTGCTGATAGTCTCAGGGCTAGCCCACCCATGAAGTAAGGTGAAGTGACCACCTCAGGTGGCCAGATCCACAGAGGCAGAAGGTCCTCATGTAGATCTTCATTATTTCCCCCTGTTTCTGATAGAGATCTTTACTAGCCCCTTCTGATGAGGGGTGAATGGGCCCTGTCATTCATTCATTCATTCATTCATTCATTCATTCATTATCTTTGACTGACCAGTAATAGTCTTGTTAGGACTCTGTCTCAGATGAAATGCTAACCAGATGAAATGCTATAAAGACTAAGAGCACTTTTTCCCTTAGCAGTGATTCTACAGGGTTAAGATAAGGTAACATGAGGACACACATTCTTAGCTGGAGGGCAGCACTTTGGTTCATAAAGGGAACAGCCACTCCTTTGAAGAATTTTATATGATAGGTGCAGAAACAAATATTATACAGACTGGTTTTGGACTAATTCGTGTGCTATGTCAGATGCTGTGCTGTGGGGAAACATGAGATCCGACAGTGACAGGTAGACATATCCTTCAAGTTGAGAAGTTAGTCAACAACAGCAGCAGCAAAATCAACATCAAATTCAAAGAAATTATTTTTGGTCCTTTTTCATGGCACTTCAATAACAACTGTCCTTTAATAATGTATTTAAAATATTTTTGAGTTGAATCTTGGGGTTATTTTTGTTCTTCTGTAAGTAGATATTGTTGACATCTTTCCCATCGTTGACAGGTAAGCATCTCTGCCTGCCTGAATTCAGAGAAAGAGATGAGAACAAACAATTTCTGTAGCTCTTCTAAATCAACGGAACTCATTCAGTGCCAGTTCAGAGAAATGCTTTGAAATGTCTGTTTTTCTCCCATGGCCTGGTATAGAAAATAATGTCTAATATTGCACATGTTCTTGAAAACAACTTCTTCTGCATTTGAAATGCTTTGAATCTCCACTATTCCATGTGTTATCTTCCATAAACTTTTTTGTAGAATAAAAAAGGTCAATATTCTTATATAATATAAAAATTGAAACAATTGGAAGCAGGCTTTAAATGTCAGAAAACAATGGACAAAATCCATTTATGCCTATGCACTTGAACCATGGAAATTAGCTTATACAATGGGACTTCTTGTTTTCTTCTTTTCCCTCCAACCCCATCAACAGATCCCAAAACAGACTCAACTTTTTGTTCCAGAAAGTTGGAGGACTTCTGAAGTAGATTGAAAGGGGTTATTGGAGAGGGGGAAGAAGGACTCTCACCTTTCTCAAATACAAATAAAAACATTTATAAATTCTACTTCATCACACTTCCCCATGTTTTTATCCATAATCTCATTCCAATTCTATTTTTATCTGTGCTTTAAAACAATTATATCAAAACTTGATTAAATATATTGGCTGCATTCAGACAGCACTTTGTTCCATCTTCATGATGTCTCAGTACGTGTGTGTGTGTGTGTGTGTGTATTCTTTCACACAGTATAAAAATTGCTTCTGGAAATCTTGTGAAAGTTTAGTGCTCATTTCTATATTAATACTTCCGGGGGGGGGGTCTGTTTGCAACTCTGGAAACCTGGAATA